GGTCTGAGAGTTGCCAACTGGGAGGAGGAACAGACATCTTTGAGGACCTAGTACTTCTCCCCAGACCCCCTCTCTAGAGTGACAGCTAAGTTCTGGCTTAAATCCCAGCGCCACTTCCTGCCCACAGCTGGCCTTGTGGCATTAATTACCCGCCTCTCCACTCTCACTTTCCCCATCGGAGAAGGGAGATGCTGGTCACTCCTTTCTCCTCCCTCCCAGGTTGTTAGATCTTCCGAGTTAAAACTGGCCAGGGGCTGAGAACACCTGAAGCGCCATAGGTGTGCTATCACTCTGTCGTCCTCATACCCCCGCTAAAGACTGCTGCGAGGGGACCAGAATTATATTTTGTCCTCTTCCTCCGTCCTCCCTGTCCCCTCTTGCGCCTTGCATTGTTTCATTTCCAGACTGAAGCTCAGAGACATTAAATGACATCAGGGCTAGACACTTTCTCCCCCAGAATTTTATTCACCGAGGCCAGGAAACCTCCAACAGGAGTGAACCCTGCCCTGACCCTCTTGGCGGGCGGGCCCTTGACCTCAGCCCGGCAGGGGGACGAGGGGCCGCGTGGTCATCCCCGGAGCGGAGCGCCCCGGCACAGGCTTTCCCGCTTCCCCGCCCTAGTCTGGGCTTTGGAACTCCTCGACCCGCCCCCTTCGTGAGCCGGGCAGGTGCTGCTGGGTGACATCAGAGCCGGGCTTTCTCCCGGAGACGCGACGTGGCCCCGCCCCGCGCTGGACCGAGGAGGTAGCCACACCTGAGAGCTCCCCAGCAGACCCGGGAATCCCGCGCCCCTCCCCATCTCCCCGCTTCCTGCACCGGCGGGGGCTCGCAGGTAGCCAGGAGGGTCGCTGGTTGAGGGGGGCCGGGACTCTGTGGTTTGGGTCTCTGGGAGACGGGTTTGGACGCTCGGACTCCTGAGTTGAGAAGGGGAGTTGGGGGCCGGGGCTGGGGCCGGCGCTCCCGTGGCCAATCCCACGGCTGGAGGAGTACTCTGTCGCTGCCTCCGGCTCCCGGGAACAAGCTCTGGGGCCAGGACTGCGGGTGGGTGGGGGCCGGCTTCCTGGGTCTGGAAGGAGGAAGGACTGAGGTCTGACTTAGGTGCCTAGGAGGAGGGGCTGGGTCTGAACTCCCCGGTCTGAGGAGGAGGGGCTAGCGCTCTGGCCAACTGGGCCCGAGGGGGCAAGGCTAGGACCCCCAGAGTTCAGATCTGGGGGCAGGGAACTCCTGAAGCCTAGCACTAGGCTGAGGTCAGAGGGCTGGATGCCAAGGACTCCAGCTCTGGCGTGGGGCGGGTCCCTGGCACCTTTTGCTTTCCAGCCCAGCAGTCTCTGCCCCTCCCAGGGCAGGTGAAAGCACCTGCCCACTGGCAGAGGCAGCCCTGTGGGTCAGGGCAGCTGCTGAAAGGCTCAGACTCTGGCTGTGTGGCTCAGAACCTGGGATGTCCGGGGCATCCTCCTTCTAGCCGGTCACAGAGAGGTGAGGGGGTCTTGGCTCCTGCGCCCAAGGGAGGGCCTGGGGGTTAGACTCCCTGGTCCTGGAGGATTCGGGTGCTGTTGGCGCAGACTCCTGCATTGGGGGGAGGGGTGTTCTAGGACCAGAGTCTTGGCTGTGGAGAGGGACGCATGGGGCTGGGTGATTGCAAAAAGTACCAAACCCTTCCTGGTCAAAGGCTACAGAGGAAGTGGGTGGGGTGGGGTGGGGTGAGGGTGGGGGTAAAGTCCTGGGGATGGAGGTTGGCTGTGGGCAGATCAAGGCCACACAAGCGCCCTGTGAGGGCCTTGTTCACTGGGGCCTGGGAGGTGGAGAAATGCCGTCCCATGATGGAGAGACCTGCACTCTGAGAGTTTGGGGGCCCAGGGCTTGAACTCTAAGCACATCCGTGCCCCTGGGTGCCAGCCAGCCTGCAGGGGCCTGTGAGGAGAGGGGTCCAGCAGCAGTGGCCTGTGTCTGGAGCTCAGTTTCCAGTAGGAGACATCTCAGGGGAAGACTGCGGAGTCTGACCTGAGGTGTCTCTGGGGGAGATGGTGTTTGGAGGGACCGCACCAGCCGGCCGGTGTCTCCGGGGCTGGAGGAACAGAGAGCACACCCCTGCAGTGCTGGGTGACAGATGTGGCTGGGTGGTCGTCAGTGGGGGGACGTGAGGCAGTGGGGGCCTGGAGGCTGACTTGCTCGTGGGGGCCGGGAGCGCTTCCCTAGACCGCAGGGCTTCAGCAGGCTGGCGGTGCTGTCTGGGTGCTGTCTGGGGCTCCTTGGAGGGCTGGACGCGTCTGGCTCTGGCTCAGCCACCGCCTCCCCGAACGCCCCTTGGCTTGCGATCGTCTGAGGCAAGAGGCAGATCACCACTGTACCGCGTGCCTCGGCATTTGGGTGGCAGGCTCACGGCGTGAGGATGATGATGAGCCTGGCACTTGATGCCTTCAGGGAATGCTGACTGAACAGAGGGGTGAATGAACGGCCTAGTCTCCCCACGACAAAGAGAAGGAAGCCAGGTCTCAGGGAAGGGGGGGGAGGAACTGCTATGTTAACTGAGGGATGAAATTCAAGGGGGTGACAGGTAGCCAGGGGTCCTGAGTGATAGCCTCTTAGGGCTCACATCTAAGAGGTCAGAGTCCCCACCGGGACCCAGGCTGACCCCATGCCTCCCCCTCCCATCACCCTCTCACTTGGCCACAGCCACACTGGCCCTGCAGGGCCAGGGCCCGGCCACACTCCTGCCCCAGGGAGTGGGACTGGCTGTCTCCCCAGCCTGCCATGCTTTTCCTCTCTACTTTCCCATGACTCGCTCCCTTCATCTCCCTCTGGTCTTTGTTCAAATCCCACATCAGAGAGTTTTCCTTGGCCACCCCAATTAAAACCTGAGCATCACTCACCCCAACACTCGCCATTCCCGGCTTTATTTTTCTCCTGGTATTTCTCACCACTTAACCCACTGTGTAATTTACTCGTTTATCTTTTTATCTGTCTCCTGGGGTTAGAGCCGAGCTGCCCAATAGGAATGTGATGCAAGCCCAAGTGTGTTATTTAAAATGTTCCAGTAGCCGCACTAAGAGTTAAAAAAGCAGAAAGCAACAAGGACGCTAATGGTGCTCGCGGGTTTTCCTCAGCTCAGTAGATTCGAGCGACTGTCACTGCTGCAGACATCTGAGGGAAAATACCAGCGAGCCCTTTGCTGCACTGAGTTTTGGAAACCAGGTGTGCGCATAACTCAGCTGCGCCTCAGGTTGGCCTCAGGTTGGGGTTCCCCAGCCAGGAGCCAGCAGCCCCCTGTGGGGTGCTGAACAGGCAGGTTGGGTCTGGTGAGAGGGGAGGGGGAACCCGCAGGCCGGGATCCCCCCCCCCCAAGAGGAGAGGGGGGGCTCTGGAATGTCCAAGCACCAGCTAGAATGTAAACACCTCAGGAAAGCCCGCATCTTTTTCTGGAATGTTCTTTGCTCTGCCGCCAATGCCTGGCTCACTGCCTGTCTTTATTAAATAATCAGTGAATGAACGATGGGCAGCGCGGTGAGTGACTGGAATCAGGCGGGGCACCCGGCCACCCTTGCAGGCGCGAAGAGAGGTGGCACAGAAGGCTGCATGGAGCCCCCGCTGAACCCCACTCTCGTGTCTCCCCCTGCAGACCATGGCGGCAGTGACCATGACCGTGCCCGGGCAGAAGGGCGCCCTGAAGCCGAGCCCGGTGCCCGAGGCGGCCCAGCCTTACCTCTTCGCGCCCCGCGGGCCTGGCGCGGGGGGCGGCG